CCAAAATGTCAAAGTGAAAGAGGAACAGTGGAGTTGGTGCTGTGAGACAGAGGAAAAGCGTGTCATCAAGAGATGACCACAACAGACTGAAAAAAAAGAGAGAAAATTTGGCAAGAAATAGCAGACACACTCCAACAGACTGGTGAGTCACTCCTCTCAGTATTTCTGGGTGTCGTCTAGCCCGGCCCTTCTACCTCCATCATGTCTACTGTCATCATTGGTCAAATCCTGTGTGTTGTCTGTCATGTCTGCGGGTTAAGTCAAGGCACAAATGTATGAGTCTGTGATCACCAAATCCGACAGTGGCCATAGTTTCAGACAAAAAGATCATGCAGTCTCACCTCAGCATAAGACACGAGCCTAAGTGAGACATTAATCAGAGAGGGGTAGAGTTGTGTGGTTGGTAATAAACTGTTTCCTTTACAGGCTTGAAGTTGAAGTTATGATTTCAAGCATTGGTCTTCAAATGTATGTTTGTATGATTTCTGATTTAAAATGTTTTTGTATTTGTATTTCATCCCATTATTTTGCATATGTCTCTGAATGTGCACTGAGTCTGAATTTGATGCACATCTTGGCAAATGAAAAACTGTTAAAAGATATAAAAGATTTGTAAAACCAGCCGACTGGATGCATCTGTGTTCTTAACTAATGAGGAGAAATCAGCAGGAGAGCGGGTCTTAATGTTATGACCAATCTTACAAAAATGTACCTTGAGGTAATTTGCAAAAAAAAAAAAAAAAGTTTATTTCATTTGTGGTTAACGCTAATAAACTTTTCTTATCTTTGAAATTAAAGTTCAGTATGCTTGTGCATCTTTGTCACAGACATCACCAGCCATTTTGGTTGTCCAAGACATGCAGAAACTCAAATGAAGCATAATTCACTTGTGATTTAATTTCCGTAAAATAATATGAATGTAAATGTGCATGACTACATCTTCTAGTTGTACTTGGCAGAAAAGATACAGGCTTGACTCCAGCAGAGTACCAATCACTGCAGAGAACAACTGCTCCTTGTAAATAAATGGAGGAGGCTGTGGATGCAGATCAAAACACACAATGCTCTCCCAAAGGAGAGGGACAAGGAGCACAATGGTCAAGTGAATAGAGCATTAGAAAGAGGCTGGAAGCTGGCTGACTTTGGGGGCCCCAAAAATAGGACACATTCCTCTGCAGCAGAGGGTGTGTGTGTGTGTGTATGTCAACAGGAATACATACCAAGCTCCTGCTGAGGGGGCTGACTTTCTCCACACAGGGAGGGAGGACGAAACAAAAGGACTGGCTGGTGCATGCTCGATCCAGAGCTGGATGGAGGTGGTTTGATTTACATCAAGCTGCAATGATGGGGGTGTCATGGTTTTACCACACCCCTCAGAGGAGTACATTAAACGGATAAGACCGTTCAATTCGGTTCAAAGATGGTTCAAAAACATATAAAAAGGAATTTTACATGGACAGTGAATTGACTCCTCCATATCCAAAATATCTAAAAGCATACTCTACTCATTCAAACTGATTCAATGTGAAATTTCACTTGGTTGTGATCTATAACCATATTTGCTGTGTATATTGTTGACTTCTGATTTTTGGCGTAACGAGGTTAAACCATGAGGACAACAGAAATGGTTCACTGACCAGATCAATTAAGTTGATGGAGACTGTAGCCCGGGGATTCCACCGCATGCAGATCTGCTCTGCTCTGAAATGGCAGGCAGATCAAATACGCAAGCATACAGTGCCCACCGGATCTGATCCGCTGCAGCAAGTCGAGGAGAAGTACTTGCAGTATTACCAATATTTCTCACGAGACTGGACGAGATGTCATGAGATCATGCATGTTTCACTGTGAGACATTGAATGAGATCGTCGATGTATATGAACACCCACATCCCACAACCCCGGCCCCTCCCATTTTATTTTGAAAATTAACCAGATATTTTACTCTGTAACTGCATACAACTTCCATACAACTGCAGGAGCCGATCAGCAGCAGTGCCGGATGGTGGACAGATTGTGTAGAATCACGCACATTGATTATAATTTGATCCGCCTGCCGTTCCGGAGCAGAGCGCAGCCGTTCCGTATCCTGTGGAATTTAGCCATAATGATCTTAAATTGATACAGCCACCACAAACAGAAGTGATTTTTGTCACCTGTTTTACTGGGCAAGTGCAGTTGCTTTTGAACAAACTAATCTAAAATTAACACAAGGTTCTTTTGCGCAATGGAAGGAATATACAACTCCTTGGCGGAGAAAGGCATCTCATAATGTCCTCATGTCACTATTTACACTTTAACCTAACACACAGGTAGGTCGATATGAACGTAAGATTCATCTAATGCTGTAATCAACAACCTGGGTAAAGGATTACTCTAGTCTTTAATTATTCACTTCATGAGGATCAAAATGAAGAACAGCTTTTCTGCAGAATTTGAACGGCCGGTTATCAAAGTACTTAAGATTTCAAATGCTGTCATTTTTTGTGTTTATCATACTTAATGGTTACTCTGCTCATACTGCGGCACAGTGGTGATGGGCTTTGTTGCAGAATTATGATGTAAAAAGGACTCAAGTTAGCAAACATGTCTTGTATAATTAACATGAACAGATATCTACCAAACAAACTCCAAGTGTAATCGAAGAGCTGTGTTCGATAAAGGCTTTTTTAATAAATGATCATGGTCGTTACTTTTACACTCAGCAAAAATCACTGACTCATTCCATCCTGAAGAGAAGTTTCTCCTGTGAACCTCAATTTCAACTTTCGGCTTATTTGAAAAGAAAAAAAAGAAACTCCGGTTAGAGCTGCACTTATCTATATTTCATAAGAGTGGATCAAATGAATGAGTACCAGATGAAAAGAGCCAAAGTAACCTAACTACGGAGAACTTCTATCGATTTATGCAGTTCTGCTCAGCTTTGATAAGGCTTTTTGCCCTTTTTTACTCACTTTGTACCTCAGTTAGTTCAGTTTATCAGGGTGCTTTACATAAAGATTCACCATTGCTTTAATACTGGGACACTGAACTTAACAGCACTGTCATGGTGACCCAGTGTTGTCTGTGAAAAAAAAAGAAGAGGCATCACTGACGTAACCCACTGATTTTTGAAGAGGTGTTATGAAGCTCAAGATCGCCATATGGGAATTGTTGACTCCAGCTATAAGCTAATCTAGAAACAGGCAAAGAGGTGAAAGAGAGGGGATAGCCTTTCTACCTGGCCAACAGCTAAACATGCCCACGTGTCAGTCAGATAGGCCATGACCTTATTATGCAGGATGATTCATAACTTGTACCCCTTACATAATCAAACTGAATGAGTCAGAAACACTCAGCTGCCACACAGGTGATGTGAATTAAGACATGAGAAGTAGAGATAAAATCCTCTTTTTAAATGTATTTTCATTTATTAATTTATCTTTTTATGTTTGCTCTAGACTTTTAAGGTGTTATTCTGCTTTAAAAAATTGGCATTTTGAAGTGGCTCTAATGGGGATCTGCGGTTATTGGAGTCAGCCTTCCTGTAAGAAATAAAAATGCTGTGCCCACACAAATAATTACATAGCTACTATTGTTAAAAATAAATCACCTCACGTCTTATACAGTACTTTGTACAATGTTAGCAATTATTTTCTTTGAACAATACTAAAAGTTGATCATTTTGTGTCCAACATATCATTATCTTTAGTGTTAAATAAAATATTTTTAGTGCTAGCATGATAAAACTTTTCCTTCTTTTGCAAAATTTTGGAGCTACACAGAATATGAAATTTTGGTCTGTGGCAAAATCCTTTTTAGGTTCAAGATTTTTATGTTAGAAAAGACAATATTCTGTTAATAAATTCTGCGTCTATCTAGAAATAGCACACAGCTGCTATAACATCTAAGTATGGAATATGTTGAAATATACTGTACCAGCCAATTAGCATCAAGTTATGAACACAAATTTTTGTAGTTGTTATTTTATGCCATGGCACCACAGAAAACTACAACAGAGTATTAGGGCCACATTAAGAAAAAAAAATTTTAGACTTCGTAATTACTTACGAGTATTAAGTCATAATAAAATAATTTCTTACAAAAATAAAGTCGTAATAAAGTATATAACTTTCAAGAATGAAGTTTTAATTAAAATAATTACTTACGAGAATAAAGGCGTAATAAAATCATGACTTACAAGAATAAAGTTGTAGCTAATAGCTATTCTAACCTGTTGTTAGTTGTTTAAATGAGCGCTGTGGAGCATTTAGATGAATGGTAGCTAGGTTTCACAAACAAGGAGATACTAAATTCTTCGCAGTACGGATCAGGTGGGTAGCTACTCAATGTATTTTACGGCAGTGAGTCGCTACCTACCCGAGCCGTCCTGTGCAAGTGCGAAACTAATTCAACTTAATAACTTGATTTAAACTACTGATCGATTCAGAAACAAACTGGCAATGTGACAGGCTAGCTAGCTAGCAGGGGGCTCCAGAGCTAGCGCCGAGGCATTTGCCAGAGCTCCTGCCCAGCACGGCGAGACCTTTTGGTCCACAGAGAGCGCCGCCAACCGTCAAAAATTATGGCGTAGTACATATCAGGTTTCGGGGACAGATCGGGTAGCGGTATGCTTTTCCATGCCTCTGAAACAAGCCTCTGGTGGATGCTCTGGGAACTGCAGTTTTGAAATATGCTACATAACATTGAAGTGTAGAACAAGTACTTCTTAAAGCATTGATTCCAATTCATTGTATAGTTTAATGTCATGTCATATTATACTGTTTCATTATTAAACCTCTTAACAGCACCACCCATGTGGCCAGATCCCCTTCACTGTGCTGTTAAAGCCCTTGTTAAAATGATTAGTCTCTGAGGCAGAGGTGCCTCTGTTTTGCCAGCAGCCTGAGGAATCCCTCCCTGCTGCTCTTTAAACAGAAAGCTTTCAGTTAAGAGAGTGGGGATCATTATGGATTACAGAGGAGGGTAATGAAGGCAGGCGGCGGTAAAAATCTTTCCAGCAGACAGAGCAGCGCAGCCCGGCAGCGCGGCGCTCTGCTGCTCCGGTGGATCAGTGGAGGTAGTTAGTGAATGTTTCTTTGCTCAGTGATTAAGGGGGAGGACCAATGGCAACAAAGGAGACGGAGAGGACGGTGGCTCCTCCTCTCCCTATCTCTCTCTCCCTCACTGTGCTTTATAGATGCATATAATCCCCGAGTTGACCCAGAAAACAAACTCCCTCTGACTACCGAGACGCCGCAGAGTTAGAGTCCGCCGCAGGGCTGCATGTAGCCGGAGCATCAGCTGGAGAATAACCCCGGCACTAATCCAACTTCTCCGCACGGATTCATCGCACATTCAGACATCGGGTAGGTGTCGCCTTCTGTTACTCCCTGAACAGGTAGAGAAGCTGCACTTTGCCTTTGTACTCTTCACCATTTTATTATTTCTTTACAGAAATAAAAAACAGGCAGATCAGACCCGTTTGCAGGTTGCTTCACCTTTTCACTTTGTTAGCTTGTGGCGCTATTACAGGCTATTTGTTGCGGTTTTTTAATGCTTAAATGTTAAATATCCAACTGTTAATGCCTTCAACCCTCGAGGAATAAAAGAAAGGTTTTATGCTTGTGTGATAATACTAGCAATTATGATCCCCCATAGACTATCTATTTACAAAGTGGCATTTAAACTGAATGGTAATCCAGATCTGCGGAGCCGCTTCACAGATAGAGAAGTGTGTAATTAGGTAACACAAGAGCGGAATATACTGAGCAGGATTAAGGCTATTGAGGAAAGTGTCTAGTTTTATCACTTCTAAAAGGGCTGAATTTCTCAAAGCAGCTGGGGTCATTGCCTCACTAGACCACAGGTCGCTTGAAATGTCTTTATTGTTCTTAGACATGACATTATATCTCGATGTGGATATGTTATTATGATCATCCCATCAAGACGCACGGTGTAGAACACACTCAGCCCCTCACATTGACAGCAAATGACATTCTGAGCATGGACAGGATCTGTTTTTATCCGTAGGTTAATCTTAATTGGAGATCTTCATAGTGACTGTGTGAAGACAGAGGCTGTGTGTTGTGCGTTAAGGAGAGAGGGGGGAGAGGTGTGTGTGGTCTCGGGAAGCATTCCTCTGCGTCCTTTTGGCTGCAAGGGTATTACTGCCCTCCCTCGTCAGTGTGATGTGTGATATCCAGTGGTAATTCACTGATGATGTGATCCTGGAGAGTTGAGTTTTTTTTTAAATTTATTTTTATGAAAGTGGTTGAAGAAAGAAACTGTGGTAGGGAGATGAGTTTCAACTGAGAAAGAGTGGAGTTTTTTTTCTTTTCTTTTTTAGATCAAGTTGTTTTAAAAGGGACACTCCAGCTGTTTGAGCATTGCACTTCTGTAAAATTGGCTGACTCACAGGAGACAGATTAAAGAAGAAAAGATTCAAATTGAAGCAGTAGGATTAAACCCTGACACATACAATCCTACTTGGACCAAAAAGCAGCTGTCTCTGTTTTCGCCTGTTTTGCGTTTTAACTATTTCGAGACGGTGTTGTTTACGTGAGTTAAGACTATCCAGTCATGGAGGTTTGTCACTATTCATACGCCACTGTGCCTGCATCATTGAGAAATTACACCATCAAAATATTAGCTGTCATTGACGTTTTAGTTGCCACTGTGCTGAGCTGTTTCTGGCCTCGACTAAACCTACTATGTTACAAGGGTTCGCCTCTCTGTCTGAGCTGTTCGAAAATTAAAGTACTTCATGTTTTCAGAAATTTTTAGTTGGTTAAATAGACATTAAATAATGTCCTTAGGGTATCATTGTAGGCCCGAGTTTAACTGATACTGGATTAGCTTAGATTACACACTTGTTTACTTTCCGTATTACATTAAATATCCAATCGCAACACTTTACACCTTTGTCACATTCGTAAAATCATTAGTTCAAAATTCAGAAACATACCATTCTACTTCGCCCACCAATAAGCTTGATTGTTTTCCATCTTTAAAGCCTGTTTTGTATTTTTAAGCTGTTTTATGGGCTGTAAGAGGAGATAAGAGAGTTCACCACTTTTAGTTTGCCTTAGTGTCCATGTCATTCAGACGTTATACCACTAAAGTACAATATGGCGTTGTGTCTATGCAACTAAATTGGGCTGTTTCCGGCTGCTTTATACTTTGGAAAATGACGGCCTGTGCAGATCATGTTGCAGTTGTAGCCAAATAATGTGTGAAATATTGGAAATACATGGGCATAGATTCCTAAGGATGTGCACATTTAATCAGTTAATAGATACAATGATTAAAAGTTGTCACCTTCACTAGTCAGCACAAGATCACATTGATATGTGTATTATTTTAGGTCCAAAACTCCAGTGTCAAAGTTTAACTTGTGCTGAATTCATAGGTGATAATCTAGGCAGATGTTCTGAGTAGCAAACCAACCAATTTTGCTGCTCACTTCCCTATTTGGAAAATGCATTGCACTATCTGATGCATTCATGTTGGTAGTAAAGAGCATACTGAGTCATGGGGTTTAATCAAAGTGATTGTTATCATAAAAGAAAGTTGGCTGTACAGGTGCCTGTTCAAAACATGGCAGATGGCGCCATGATTTGTCAAGGGTAGAGTAAGTAGAGAGAAAAGTTGTGTTTACTTGTGAGGAGGACCAAGGTTGGTGGTGCTAGTTATGCTAACGTTAGCCACACTTGGTGAACCAGTTTTACGATGAATACATTTTTCTCAGTTTTGAAAAAGTTTACATTTATGTGTCTAATAAACGTGGCTAATGTAAACCTTAATGGGATTTTGGTTGAGAAATTGATGAAAACCCCTTGCTTTGTTTTTCATTTTTGGAGTTCCTGTCTCTGAGGTCAAGCTAACTAACTCTAGACAGCTTCCTTTATCATCCTTTTAAAAAATGCACACACACTACACAACAAGCAATCTTATAATCAGTGAACAAGACTTCATACTTGTGTATTTATATTTGATCCTCATTTTGATTGCATTAATGATAGCAAGGCTGCAACAAACAATAATTTAATTACAGTTACTTGCTGATTAGTTTCCTAAACTGTTGATTTGTTGGTTAGATAACTAAATGAGACCACAACTGTAAGTGGATCATTATCATTTCATTTGCCTTAGGGGTGTTGTCAAATTTTTACCACCTTAAATGGCAAATCAAAGGTGAAAATCTCTTCTGTCTTTGATAATATTAACAAAAAAAGTTTAATATTTTTGCTCGGAGATGTCTGAAATTCCAGAGTCAAGTATGTGCCAGTGATCTAATCTGATTTTTTTTCTGCTCAGGGTAACTTTGCAGCCATGGCTGAACACATGATGATGCCCATGACCCACGGCTTCAGGATGGGCATGAACGGACCTCCGCAGCACGGCGGTCAGCCCGGCTTGCGTGGGTTACCGAACGGTCAAGTGATGCACTACGGCAGGAACCCTCAGAACAACATGGAGGCTGCCATGAGACAGCGGCCAGGCATGGTGGGGCCTGGAGGGATGGGGGGCCCTGTGAATGGAGCTCCCATGGCCAACCACCACCACCAGATGATGTCTGGGAACATGATGTACAACGGGCAAGGTCCGCCACAGCAGCATCACCACATGCACCCCCAGCAGCAGCAGGGTGGGCACCCACAGCAGTACCACCCTGGTAACCTCACCTCCCAGCAGCTCATGGCCAGCATGCACCTGCAGAAACTCAACACTCAGTACCACGGACACCCTCTGGGCTCAGCTAATGGCCACCACATGCCTAATGGTGCTCAGTACCGGGTGGGTCCAGCCCAGCTGTCGGGCATGCAGCACATCGGCGGCCCTTTGGGGCTAAACGGCATGGACATGGATCTGATTGACGAGGAGGTTCTGACGTCACTGGTGTTGGAGTTTGGTTTGGATCGTGTTCAGGAGCTACCTGAGCTCTTCCTCGGACAGAATGAGTTTGACTTCATATCGGACTTTGTGTGCAAACAGCAGCCGAGCACGGTGAGCTGCTGAGCAAGAAGGCTGAATCTGGTTCGGTTTTGTTTTGACTGGACTGGACACCCCAAAGAATGACTGAGCGGTCACAGTAGCACAGTGAGAGGAGACAATCTCTCTGTTCTGTTTTGGGTGTTTCTGTGTCTGTGTTTGACAGTGTTTAGTACGCCTTCACACTGCGAGTTGAGGAAGACTTGTAACAAGAGGAAACACAGCAGAGACACCAGGTTTCTCTTGTTTGAGGCAGTGCCAGGAAGATCTGTCGTCTGTGGCCAAATTGAGGCAGCCTGATGCAGCGGGCTCTGTCTGTACCCATCTGGCCCTCAGCACATGTGCCTGCAGTGCCAAGGCTTTGGGAAAATTGTAAACTTAACAGAGAGGAAACGCCTGAAAAGACTCTCCATCTGGGTCTGCTACATGCTGTGGCATCTTTAAATGTATTTTATCTCTGATGACACCTTCAGACAGTAGCAGACGTTTTACAAATTTATAAAAAGGTAGTCCTCTGAATTTGTTTGTACAAGGATGAAGGGGTTGAGACAGATTTTTGTGTGCTTATTGAAGGCTGGCTCTTCAAAAACTGCTTCAAAATATCACATATTTCCTTGAAGAGCAGGAGAGTGAGGTTGTGCAGCAATCTTAGGAGAAGTGACGGGGTTTATCTCGGATTGGTCGTGTTGAAATGTGCCGCATTGATTCTCGGGCTTTCAGTGTCATTTACCTGTCTCAGATAAAATCTGCAATCATCAAGTGCGTCACATCTGTTCCCTGCTAATTAGCTGTGATTGAATCATTGGCAAAGTAGCACATTGTTTACTGTGTTGTTAAAAACAAAGCATTTATCTGCTAAATATGGCTGTAACATCCTTCTGCTTCAACATTTGGCTGCATATCGCAGCCTGTTGCAAAGCTAATCAAAAAAAAACAAAAAAAGATGTTGATCCCAGGTATGAGGTGGGATTAAAAAAAGAAAGAGTAAAAAAGAAAAAAAGAGTGTGATAGAAGAAATTGTATGTTATTTGTGTGTGTGGGTGGGTGGTGGATTAAGTGAGACATTTAAAATCCATCAAAAGACATCCTGCTTCCTTAAAACTACTGGAAATAATGACTTGACAAATTAAGATTACAGACTGAAACAGACAGAGAGACTTATTAATTACCCTCAAAAATCTGAAAAATAAAGCCTCAGAAATAAGAAAATATATTTAAAGTTTCCTTTTTTTAACTTTGCTTTTGCACACGATAATAACACATTCCAACAAGATGTTTTTATCATAGAAAGAAACAAACGTGTTTCCGCATAATAATTCTGCTGTAAACAAAAGATATATCTAGTTGGTTTAATAATTTGCTCCCACAAGATAAATATTTTATAGTTATTTGGAAACAATGTATTCATTTTGTGTCCATAACGATTTATCTTGTAGGACAAATTTAATCATCTTGTGTGCAAACTATAAATAGCACATGGAAATGAGTCATTATCTTGTGCACATAATATGATAACGTAGCCCCACAATGTAATTGTCTTGCATGCATATGGACGAACTTACGATGGAACTTATGAGCACCATTTCAGATCCAGTTAAAGTCTTGTGCGCACGAACTTTTATCTTGTGCATTCTACTTTATAACTTGTCCCAACAAGATATCTGTATTGTGCATGCTCCCTTAAGATTGTTATATAGTGGATATAAATTCTTATCTTGCACATGCAACATAATAACCATAAGGGAGCTGGTAGTTATCTTGCACATGCACACAAGTTGTGATCTTGTGCACGTAAAAAAATTACTTGTTCCCTCAAGATAATTATATTATATGCACGAGTTATTGCCATGTAGAGACATGTTAAGTAAATGTCTTTTGCAAACAGTTGCTTTGTTGTCTTGTGTGCAAAAGATGATTACATTGTGCACAAGATACATTTTTTTCCACTTTTCGGTATTTCTAAGGCTCTACAGAATTTTTTGGTGCTACTTCAAGCTCAAACATGCTCATTATCTGTCTGAAAATGTTAGCTTCTTGAGGTACAGAAGACCTCGGATCTTGTCATTTTGGGTTTCCAGTAGTTTTAAGTGTGCTGCAGACGGTTTAAGGCTGCACAGGGAGATGGGGTAGAGAGACTTAGATGTGTGGACACAGCACTCCCTGGCAGCACTTGGTTTAATCATTATTTAAAGCTGCCGCTACCTGTGGCATTGATTTCATTCAGCAGTAGGAGTGAGTGAAGAGCACAAAGCAGGCACATTTGTTGTTTTTTGCCATAGATTAGCTTACTCTGCTGCTTTTCTACTGATTAGATTCAAATTACATGTTCTCACACGCTTGTCTTAATTGAGGTCGGCTTGCACATTCTCCAATGACTCAATAATTATAAAACGGACATGTTTTTTTGCGCAGTTGGTAATTAGGTTTTTTTTTGTCAAGGTTGCTGCTTCGCCACTGTAGGCTGGTTGAGGGAGAACTTCCTGCTCTCGTCAGGCTATTTGTGGAGCTGTCAGAGAGGTCAGGGCCACGCTGGTGCACTGTGTTAATCTGTTCCAATACCACTGTGCTGCTGCTGCTGTCCCTGTCTCTCTCTGGAGATCTGCCATCTCCAGCTCTCCAATCAAACAACGGGCATTGAAACGCTGTGGTAGAAAAAAAAAAAAAAAAAAAGGCGGAAAAGTGCCACTCTGTTTCACTTTCTGCCTGGCAAACTGCAGCCAGAGCAACTCACAACCTCACAGTTCATGTGTAAATCTTTTTTTCTGGCCTTAGCGAGACAGTGGCCTCTGATTACTGCTGTAACAATGAGCGCAGCCTTCTTGTGTATTCTATCTTTGTACTGTAGACTAGAGGTGAAGTTGATCTAGACACATTTAAAGGTACTTTCAGAAAACATTGTCAGATGTAAGTGTAAATCAGTGGATGATTTGATGTGTTGACAAAAAAGATTATATCCTACAATTTTTTTTTTACAAATCAAGTGTGTAGATACAGTTTGAGTTTGCGTGCAGGACCTGAAGCTTTAAGACCAAGTAGACTGCATGTTAAAGCAAGCGTGAGGGATGCCACCACTTTCCCACAGAGCAGCTGAGAATGTACAGTACAACACTTTGTGGGAACTTGTCTTAAGATGGTAGATAAACATGTGAGATTGTACTCCTTGTTCCAAAATTACACATCATTCATTTGGGTAAACCCCCCTAAACTCCCCACCCATTCTTCTCCTTTCCTTCTTCCCCAAAGCTTTTGTAATGTTATTGATTCTATTTTAAGAAAATGTATTTATTTTCAAATAAAATATTTATTTAAAGAAACTTTTTTTCTATATTGTTATTTTTGTTAGTCACGAAATATGATGCTTGATACCTGGGTAAAAAATGTCATGTTTTAACGCACAGGCCTGTTAGTTGTGTTCACACGAAAAACCACAGAGTCCTTCAGATGCTGTTGATTCGTTGTTTTCATGTTGGTTTTGGACGCTGATCCACCCACAAGAAGTGATGAGCAAACACGAGAGCAAAGTACAAACAACATATCCTAAACAGTGATGAGTCAGCGCTCTGTCAACACAGAGATAGAACCGCCAACGTTTTTCACTTCTTGTGTTATATAATTTAGTTATGTTAAAAATTGTGAGTGCAAACCTGCAAAGCAACACCAGAGCAAAGTAAACAAGACCATGGTGAGCTGGTTTATGCAGGTTTTCTTTACTTTTGATTATTTGATTGATGAGGCACATGGGTAACGGGCTGCTGGCTAATACAACACCAATTTCTATTAAAGTTGGACTTTTATGGTTTTTAAATCATTCACACACCTAATTTAATAGAAAACAAAGTATAAAGACAACATATGTAATGTTGAAACTTAAACAGAGGTGTTCCTCTGTTAAAAAAAACTCATAATAGCATATTAAATAAGCCAGGACAGGGCCATGTTTCTCATCACGATGCATTACCTCTTCTTTAACAACACTTCAAGGAGACCAGTTTGAAAGCAATGAAACAAGATCCTAGTTTCAGTTTCAAACACTCTTCTACTATCAAAGCCACACTGGTGTAATACAAGCAAAATGTGGTTTGGCACCGTCTTACTAACATATGCGAAAAGGCATTGTCTAAATAGCAGCGGGTATCGCCCCAGTGCTTTTGAGCGTTAATAGTGTCGCTCTAGATGTGTCAGCTACCAATGCCATTGGCGCAGATGCATACCATCACAAATGCTTGCCTTTGGAGTGGACACTCATAACAAGCAGATAATTTCCAGAAAGAGTGTAAAATTCTGATAGGCCAAACCACAGGACAATTTTCACTAAACCAAGGTCAATCTGAATTGACATTTGTGGATGCAGAGATAATCTGTGTTCATGGCAAAGGGTTTTTGGAGGTGATATTCAGCCGATGCAGTGATTCCCACTTTTCTCATGTCTGTTTTTCTCATGTCCCCCCCCCAGAGATTATTCTTCATTCCCTCAAGATGTAATACAATATTTTGTGTAGATAATAAGGTTCTAAATTATTTTTAATTTATGCTCAAGAACATTATCCTATGATTGTTGAACTACTTGCTCCTGCAGTCTCTCACAGAGTGGTGAAGATTCTTCCACATTGACTTCTGAGATGGTGATCGGTTGCAAACAGTGCTAGGCCATCAGCACAACATGCACTGACTCAATGCAGTGTTAATATGTGAACCATACAGCCAGTTAGCTGTAGGTTTAAAAAATGTGTGGTTAGAGAACTGGAAATTGATGATACAATATCGTTTTTGTCCTAAACTTACCCAAAAATAGTATTATATGTTGATGATACTGTTTATCATTATTACAGTTTACAATTTAAGTGGAAATAAATGCATAGTTATGATATATTGATTGAAACATTGATAAAAATGGCTGATTTGGGGTTAGCTGTTTGAGAGATTTAAAAACAAATGTATCTTCTTGCCTCAAAATGATATGAGTCACTAAAAAACGTTGGAATTCCCATCACAATTTTTTTTTACCTGGTTATGTTACGACCATGTAAAATGACCTCATTTTTATAAGTTCCTTCAGGTTGTTTGTTGCAGAGACATTAAGTGAACAGTGAACTGACCGTCTTTTGTGTCTCTCCTCGTCTGCTCTGCTAAAAATACACATCAACTCTATTTTTGACTGGGGCCATGTCCAGCACACATCAGACTGAACAGAGCAGATTGACCCGGGCAGGAAGTCAGACACAGGCAGAGAGCATCAAGTCAATATAACACCATCTACAGACTTGCATGCAAAAACAAGGAAACAACTTGGCTTTAACTATCAGCTATTATCAAGTAGGATAATTGTAAACATCAAATTCACTCACCCTCGTCGCTGACGCACTCAGTATTCTGGTAGACTTTGGTGTGCAGCTCCAAGTCAGTTAGAAATCTTTGCTCAGCCCTTTGTGTCATCTTTATGCCTCATTTATGGTGTCCATAGACCTGGAAATAAAAGGATAATTCCTTTAGAGTCAAATGAAAGGACATGCACTCTTCACATATAGATAGAAATCACAGAATCTACCTGTGGCTTTTGAGAAGAAGCAAGTGTCTTTTCTGATAATCCATAAAACTCAACATTTTGAGGGTAGATTACAGACTGAAATGTTCCAGTTTATTCACCTTTATGCTCATACTTAAAGTGAAAGAGGAATAAAGAAGTTTTTATCTCCAAAAATGGATCATAAACAGCTCAAAGACTGACACATAAGAGATCAGACACTCTAACATCTTAAATATCTGTTATTTTCCTTCCCCCCCTGAAAGAACTTAATGTGCAGAACTCACCGCACATCATCTGGGAGTTTTCCTTTACCATCTTGCTGCCATTTAAAGGACACTTCAGTGGGGATTGATGGAAAGAAATATAAAAATAGTCTCATTAAAATTCTAATTAGCTGTGCAGTAAAGTCATATTAAGAAGACCTGAAACGCTCTCACAGCTCTACATGGTGTTAGTCAAAGCGCCGTTTTGTCCTTGAGCAGTTTTTAATGGACTTTTCGAAACTATCAGAGCTGATGAGAGGTGGAAATGCAAAAGAGCTGAATATAAGAAGAACATAGTGGTTCTCTATAACTGGGGAAATATAAAGGGAGGTCACAGCATTCAGGAGTATTACAAGGTCTGTAAATCATAGTCTTAGAAGCATCGAAAGGGTAAAAATAAAACAGTAAACATGTCTTATTTTACAGAAGATTAAAAAAGGCCATGACTATTATCTGCATGCTGAGAAAAACAAATAAAACAAGAGTTCAATAAATCACAGACTTTAACTTTTTTTTTTTTTACTGCATAAGGGCGTCAAAGTTAATATTTTTTTGCCTTTTTTAAATAGGGCTTCAAATAGGGTGACCATATGTCCTCTTTTACCCGGACATGTCCTCATTTTTGGGGGGCTGTCCGGCTTTGTCTAGCTTTGTCCAGGGAAGTTTATAAGATCCTTCAATTCTCTGTGGTTTTGAACGTTAGTTTCGATTTTGTGTCACATGGGCTTACTGAGTTAGAAGCATGTAAAAGACACTCGATAAGACTCAAAAAAACTCTCAAAATTAACTTTGTGCGACTTTGTGACTCGGCCCCCGCGTAGTCATGTTATGTTTTTGGGAAGTCAGAATATGGTCACCCTACTTCAAGTTAAAGTCCTTCTCAGAGCCCCCTCATACCAAATCTAAAAAGTTATCACACACTATTTAGGAAAGATTTAACAAAGCACTAGCAATCAAGATATAAACACAGTCACAATCATAATTCTATAAGCTCTGCTCAAATTAATGCCACGTTTTATTTATAAGTTTATTATAGTGTCACGGGTTTGTTCAGGACAAAAAAATGGTACTCGCACAATCGAAACTCCAATGTGATGTTTTTTTATTCACACCAACTCTCCAAAAACAGCAAACAGTGGCAAAAATATTTAGAGTGCAGGACACAAAACAAAACAGAAAAACCCCATACAAATAAATTATGTACTTACAGCAGGTTTTCAGAAGGACTTTCACTCGTTCATTCATAACCATAGTCTGTATATACTATGGGCAACTTGGTTCCGCCTTCCACAAGTATACGGATTTGAAGTGATGACGCTCGGCTCAAACAGCATATCCCCCGGGTGAGCTACGCAATCTTCGTACGCCCATAGGCTGTATCAAGTGTCAATCATAGAAAACATGAACCCCCTAATAACTTTCAAAAATGGAGCTGCACAGAAAAAAAGAGGACTTAAGCACAAACCAGTCTTACAATGACTACATGACAACATCAGTCTATAAAGTCTATGCTCGTAACCCACGTTGCCACTAGGCCAAGAGTTCTTCTCAGAGTGAGCAAAGCCCTCTTTAAATACCCCTTAGCCCCTCCCCTGGGCACATCCATAAACAAATTATAGTCGTTTAAGATACAATATTTAAAATACAACTCATAATTCATCAATAAATCTGACATTGCAACATGGACAAAAGGGGCACTAATAGCCCTCCATACATCTGACCGTACTCATTGAAAACATGGTAAATCAGACACAATATCACAAATGAGCTATAATGGTATAATCCGACGAACACATGACCCCCCCAAAAGCGCGCCACCTTGCGCTATTACTGAGGAACCAGGAAGTGCCCCGGTTTGGCTCTGAAGATGGCGGCAGGTAAGTGGGCGTGTGTGCGTGGCGTGTTGTCGAGTGTGTACCTTCAAACGCTTTGACAGGGGAGAAAAGAGTTTAGATGAAAAAGGAAACGGTCAGTTGGAGTGCAGAACTGCGGTGTACAGGTGTGGGGAAACAGTTACACAGTTTGATGTTGTTTGGCCTCGCGGGGAAAGAGCGCGCTCTTTGCGCACTCCCGGCACGAGGAGGCCACGAGGAGAAACCCGCGCCAGTCGGGGAATGACGCGGCGTTTACTGGCGCTCCGTCGCATATGGTTGTAAATGTCTCAGCATCATAGGAATCAATGGTTAACTAGTTATCTCATATGAGAGTCGGTATCATTGGAGTCCTGTCATTGGATTTCTACATTCAAGTGTTAGTTTTTGTGCTAGCTCCAAAAATAAGTCTATTAATATCTTATAAAGTCAAGTTAAATTATTCACTATTGTTTTTGGAGTGTGAAAAGTTGTTAATTAAGCTGTTGGCCTCGTGCCTGTAGAGGGTTCAGCAGCCTTTGGAGCAGATAGAGAGGAGCAAGAAGTGTGAGAGGATGAGGGAAGAGAAGAAGAGAGCAGGAAACATGAAGGTCTCTCTGATAATAGTGAGAAGGATGATGGTTGGAGGTCAGAAAGGGTGAAGAAGAAAGAGAAAGCAGAGTTTGAGTGAGTTGCTATTCAAAGAGAATAAATACGGAGCATTTTAGTCTCTGTTTTGGAGTGTTTTAGAATACACAGCCTCAGTCATGAAGAGCCTACCTGCTGCTGAAGAGAGCAGAGACAATACCAGAAGGGTCTTACCTGTGCTAAAGAGAAAAAAGAGTTGGATTGTTGCTCAGTGGTCCAAGGTTCGCCCTTAAAATCTTTCAAAATACACCATTAAGAAGGTTAAATTAGTTTCTGCTGCCATCAGTGAATCTTTTAAAAATCTTTCAGGGATAAATCACGGAAGATTTATTCTAACTCTTTTTAGAAACAGCTTAACTTTTTAATGTCTACCATGAAAAATATGGTCGGATTGATAAAATGGGAGACATATGCCCAAAAATGTGACAAACAAAAAGAGAAACAAAGACATACAGAAAGAAAGGCTGTGTAATAAGCTATTGAAATGGGGTTTTGAATGTGGTTCACCAGCTGTAGAAACAGAGCATTTAACTGCAGAGCTGAAGTGGTGGTTTGTGCCGCTATGAAGTCTGACACCTGTTTCCTGCTGTGAGTGAAATGCACTACTTACCGAACCCAACACTCGTAATCACGGTGCACCTTTCAGTTTTCTGGAAGAAAAGAAACATCAACAACACTTTTGCAGATCAAACAAGGACAGAAAGAGCAAACAGGGGACAAGAAGCACAACTACCAATGGGATGATGCAGCTTAGGTCAGCGAAAATAACTAGGAGAAACAACAAATTCTGTGATAAAGGGGGATGAAATACACACAGTTTTTTACTACAAAAGCTGGGATGTTTTGTATACTGCAAAAAGAAACAGAGTATGATAATTTGCAAAATATTTTAAACCCATTTCTACCTTAAAAGAGCACCAAAACCTTTCATTTATGAAAAATGGGAAAAATGCAGGTCAGTAGATTGTAAGTGCAGATGCATTTTCACCAAAGGGTCTAGCTAGGAACAGTATGGCACTGGTCAGTATGCAATATTTGGGTTTCCTAAGGTATCCAAATAACCAACCTGTAGCATCCCACTTTTTGCGTAACCACCCTCTCACTGTAATAAAAATAATAATAACTTTATTTTTATAGCACTTTTAAAAACAGACGTTTACAAAGTGCTTTGACAACAGTTTAGAGAACAGAACATCAGCACATGAAAGTAAAAACAAATAAAAACAAAAGCTCAGTTAAAAACAAGGCCTCTGAATTGAAGGCCAGTTTCATTTTTCATAAGAAACCCAGGCAATACAAGAACCCTACAACATAAGATGAGACCATGAGGACCAAAATAAAAACGTAAAATAGGTAAGAAAAAGAATGAAATAGAAAAGGAGGGCAGAAAGCAGGAAACGGGATATTAATAATGATAATACAATAACAAAATAATAATGATGGTAATATTAATGATAAAATGTAATAATAAAAATGGACACGAAAAAAACAAAACAAAAGGAAAAGATTATAAGTAAAACAAAGGCTAAAAGGATAGTAAGTCGAAATAAGATGGAGGTAAAAGAAAAAGGAGAAAAAATGTACTTTACTGTACTTTATTCTTTACGTGTAACAACTGAAACCCAAATCAGACCAATCAGGATTATCGCAGCAAAACCTCAGGATGGTTTGAATTGTGTGAAGATAGACTATAAATGTAGCTTTTCATCTTTACAGGAAAGAATAATTGTAATTATAATAATTTTAATGATAATAATGACTTTATCTATATTGCACCTTTAAAAACAGCTGTTTACAAAGTGCGTTAACAGATGAAACAGAAGAAGAAACATACAAAGGAAAATCAGGAAGATTGAAAAAAAAAAAAGGTGGACAGAGGACGGTTAAAAGAGAAAGCAAGAGAAATAAAAAATAAGACAGTAAAATAAGAGTAATAATGAAAAGGGAGGGAGTATATTAAAACATGGGAAAATGGTAAAAACAGGACTAAAAATGATAAGATACCGGTGAGGAGATTAAAAACAACAGGAATAAAAATAGTTAAAAAGTAATTGTAAGATACGTATGCAGATAAAATAGAATAATATAGATAACTAACATGGTTAAACAAGAGGTATGTAGGCAATAAAATAAATAAATCATGCATCATGTAAAAGTAAGTCCAAGAAAGTGAATTTTGAAATGTGATTTAAAAGAGTGGATCAGTTTTTATGTTAGACCAAGCAAAGCACAAGATGTCAGCTCACATTAACATATGTAATCACCCTGCCTTAGTCTATAAAAACTCAAGAAATCTGTTCAAACTGAAGCGCGAGCTGAAGAGGAGCTTATCTCCCCTGAATATAAACAGGATGTGTATCATTGAGCCACTTCCTAGAACAGGCAGAGATGTTCATATCCACTCTCAGAAAAGCCTTTTTGGCTGTCAGCAAACCAAACACGGGGCTCTGCTGGGTCTAGAGGAGGCTCTGAGGCCCTCTAAAAATCCCATTAAACAAGAGCACACTAAAGGGTGAAGTCTGTCTGATAGCTCAAAGCCAGCTTCTTCCACTTGCAGGATGTTGTTGTATGATCGTTGGTGTAAGATCCTAAATACTGGAGGTGAAGTTGAGGCCAGGGCTGCAGACATCAAAAAGCCAGGTTGTTACGCTGAATGCATACAGTATAGTTAAACCTGATTTAGCTGGCAGTGCAGCAAAATGCAGATTTGTCTGTCACATCATGTTGTTGCTTCCAGTTTTTGGTTACCAATGGTTACCAATACTAAGGCTGCAACATATGGTAATGTAGCCAAGAGATAACACCTATTTTTTTAGATATTCATACTTTTAACACATGCACAGGTTTACAGACCTGCAAATTATCACCGAGAACACACAGAAAACACACAGAGGTCAAAAAGTAAAAACTAGCATGTGGATAAATCCCTCCTCAGACGATTAAGCCAGATAGCACAGAGAAATTAAAATAGTTTAAAACACCAATTTAAACCCACAGAAGCAACAAAATCATACCCAGAGTCATGCAAACACCAAAAATATTATAATGCATGCACACAAGTCAAAGAAGGGCATTGAAATGCAATCAGACCAAGACGCTAAGGCAGAAGAACTGCCGCGTCTGCAGTGCAAAATGATTAATATGGTGATTATTACTTCAAGGAAGTGATAAAGAAATGATTATAAATGTTCTTCCTTGAGCTGTGTCACCCCGCAGCAGTCCATAATGGGTTGGCCCGAGGTCTCGCTACAAACAAGGGGCTGCTGGAAGAGGGTAGGTGAGTTGTGTTGCCAAGAAATTAGGCAAAGTTAAAAAGATGTTTGATGGCTAGTGCTATGGCGGGGACTCTATACTGTTGATGAAATTAGATGCTGTTCTGGGCATTATTTGTGGCTATAGAGTGGCGCTTTGGTTGAGGTTTGTGTGTGGTTCCATAGACTGCTGTGCATTGCTATTGTGTGGTAGTTGGTGAGGTTGGTATAGAATGAGAAGCAAGCAGTTGGCAGCATTCATCTCTCAAGTGGGTGTCTAACTTGGTGTTACGGTGTGTTTGACCCTAAATTAGTTTTGCGCTGGAATATCCCTTTAACTGGTCAACCCCATTAGAGTATCTCCCAAAGTTTACGAAAACAAAACTGTTGCACTTAAGGATCGTTTTATGCCAACCTTGGTCTTGTTTGCTTTTGTCTTAGTCACACAGAGGCATCATTACAAGTTCTGTTTGTTTCAAAGTCAATTAAATAAAGGAGTCAACTTCCATAGAAAGGCCGACTCTGACTGCTGGTTCCACCTTAATAAACCTCCTGAATGACAGTTTGCTTTTTCTAAGATTGTCCTCGACCACCATCTCAAATAGACTTGGTGGTTGATGAACCAATGACATTTAAGTTTGTATCATAGTTCTTGTTTGTCCCTCTCAATTCATGAATTCATCTCTTAAACCAGCTTTACTGGTTTCTTGTTTCTTCATCCCACAAGTACATGTAACAACCCGCCTCCATACAGCCTCCTCAGTTTATTTGTACTTTTTGGTGGTTATTTTGAGGTTGAACTTGAAACTCTTGACTGCTATTTAGATGCATTTCAAAACAGGTGATGTGAACTTTATCCACCTCTTATTGTTTACATGTTTCACCACAGAGTTGGGCAAAAGAACTGAGAGCTGCTGATAGGGTTACATGAAACGCATCTAAAATAGATTGCATTTGTGATGACTGACCTTCAGAGGCTGGCAGGAGGGGGGTTATGTTTTGACAGTGAAAGTCAAGATGTATCCTGTTTACAGTTTTTGTGTCTAGCAAAGCCTAAACTCTCCAGACTGTAGCGCATTAACCATTAGGACACAAGATGAGAGAAGAGGACTATGGACAAATTACTTGACATTATGAACAATGCCAGTAATCTGTACGTTTTCTGTGGCACACATATGGAGTATTTGATGACAACATAGTTAGATTTTCACATAACAGATGGGTATATGGTGTATTGTCCCAGTAAAAATGAATTTTTATGTAGGAATCCAATCCCACGTAATAATTTCATTGGAAAGGTACACCTTATTCAGGGTTTTTCCTGCGTTCAAAATTGCGTGGCGGCCGCCTCCACCTAATTTTGTGCCGCCCCCGGCCAGAGCGATTTATTTCGCTCAACACAGCGTAAAGCTCCAGCTGTGTTGATTGAGCGATTGATGTCCCTCTGCAGCAGCAACGTATTTTAACTGCAGTTGCAGCGTTGCGCCACTATAGAGGCGCTATATCAACAGCAGTGCACCGGAAAGACCTGAAGCATCTACCGAAGAAGAAACGGATCGAATCATGTTTTTTCAAGTTTTTTTTCCCGCTAGTTGGTGCTATCGGCGTCCTGAGTTTCCCTGCCGGATGGTACAAACAGGTAAATACTGCTCGTCTTTTTTGCATCCAAGCATGACGTGTTTATTTAAAAAAAAAAGTTTCCTCCGTTTTTTAGCGTTGTAGATATGACAGGCAAAATCAGCCAGTACTTTAAAAAGCGACCTCGCGAGGAGGAAAGTCAAGAGTCCTGGTGAAAGTACTTCACAAGGGACTGGTGATCGCGAGGGTCAGAATGCAGGACAGGACGAGGGTAATTAATTAATTTGTTTCCAATTAGGAGCCTAACAACGCAAAGCCAACGTGTACGTGGTTTTTATTCCTCTTTCCAGATCTTCTCAAAAACACAGAGCCAGTGGCTTTGACAAGCAGTGGCTCAATCAATTTACCTGGCTCAGGCATACTGAGGAAGGCATGCACTGTTATTAATGCCAAAAGCACTGTGCCCCAACACAGCAGGCAATTGCTGCCTCCTTAGTGAGACAGCCATCAACCAACTACAGGCTGGACACATTAAAAAGACATGAGGTGACAGCCATTCACAAAGCAGCAGAAGAGAAGGAGAAGTATATTAAAGATGGTAGTACCTAAAAACACTCAACTAATAAAGTTACAAAAACTAAGATAACAGTTTAGATAGTTTAAGAAACAATTGGTTGTCGTTTTTTTTTAGGGAGGACACTGCAGCGTATACATATATATAAAATATGATTGAAAACACTATCACTCTTCATGTCTGAATCAGAATAAAAACAAAAATACTTAATGCATGATGAATTGTTTTGTTTAAGGTGAAGACACCTCTGTGGAACAGACTGAAGGAGGGGCACTTGGATGTCTGTTGTAAGGTGGCCGTTGATGGACCAGACCAGGAGGCCTTGGACTACAAGGAGTGCATGAGGAGGTTCTTCAGAATGAAAAAGAGGAGGCTGAAATGTTCTGTATGGTTGCGAGATGTGTGGATGAAGTGTACTTTCAATTTAAAGTTGCCAGCTGATTTGTGTATGTATATAGTTTTAATAAATGAATGCTTTAACATGATAATGGTCACACTGTTTTTTGAACTCTTAACTTAAAGTATGTTGCCTGTAAAAGAAAGTGAGTCAGTTGAATTTACAAATACATGCACTTCATGGCGCATGGTCAGGATGGTGCCACCTCTGCCTCAATTTGAGCCAGGAAAAACCCTGACCTTATTCTAGGGCTGGGTGATAAACCAAAAATTTACTGATACCGAAATTTATGATAAAAATGTCATTTTGCCCATGTCAATATATCCGGTGTCAAAATAATAAAAGTTGGTTTTGGATGTGTGAAGATAGGCTATGGTCTCATGTCCCTTTAAGATGCTGTCCTAAGTCGGAGACGTGACTCCACCCTATCCAGTCTGTAACAAAGAGGTAAAGACAGGTGAGGAGATGGAAGACGGTTCAAAAGTTGTAGCTGCTGGAGCGGTGGCTGAAGTAGATGAAGTTAATGTGGGAGGGGGTGAGCAGCTTGTGGAGTAGTAATCGTCCATTTATCGTTATCAAGGTGAACTGCTCAATATATCGTGATATTGATCTGAGGCCATGTCGCCCAGCCCTACTTTATTCAGAGAGGTAATTCTCCTGTAGCTGAATTCATTGTTTTTAGATGTATTTTTAAAATGAAGTTAGAATTTTCCACTGTGATTGGAAGCAACTATTTGACTCATTGATGCAGTTTGGCCCAGTATACTGTGCCTTCTGAGTTTCCTGTCAGGCTCTCTCCTCGCTCAGCCTTTGCTCCAGATAAACTACACTGTGATTGCAGGCTATGAGCCAGCAGTATGAGTCTGAAAATACACGGAGTATAAATCATTACAAACAGCAATCAATGGAAGTAATTTTTCAGAAACCCACTGACATGTGGCTTTCTGTGCAAAAACAGTAAAACCTACATATTTTACTCACATGAATACACTAAATATCTATCCTCTCGTCTATGGACATAACTGTTACACTTTAAACTGCATCATGTCAGCTGCCTTCCTCAGGCAAACGTCTATTAGCCCCAATCTCTTTGTTATGTCTGTCAGCCAAGTCTAATCCAGGATGTAGAGCGAGGCCAGCCCTGCCAAGTCCACCTGGTGTGGAACAGCAGGCTGACTCTGCACCCTCTGACGTGCTAATGTATTGAAACACTGTTGCAGCAGGTTTTCAGACTTACCACACGTGATTTTGCCATGCGGCACAGCATTGTCTACCATGATAGATGCAGTCTTAATGAGTGAATAGGTTAGGACTGATCAAAGGATAATTTATATTGTGAGTTACAGTCAGTTTGGCATTTTCAGCACTGACAGGCAAACAGTGACAAGTCCAGGCGTGTTCAGGGTAACCTTGTCTTGTTTGTTGTTTTACAGAAGTCTGTATCAAGGCTTCAGCTCAGAATTGTATCTGTGCAGTTTGCTGTGTACAACGACAACAGATCAACTTTGAATGTATTTGAATTTAGTTGTTTATTTCAGTGATTTAATCTACTTTGTCAGAATACACAAGAGCTCAGATCCAATACATCGCCATTTAACAAACTAAACAGTAGAGGCAGCTACAGACAAAATTGTCTTGTGGGAAATAAAATGATTACTTTTCATAATGTGGTTAAATCACTATATAGGGAGTGATGTTTGTTTTGTTGCTGGTTTGAAAATAAAATCCAACCTAAACAAAGAAGTCTATCTCTGCCTAGGTTCCTGTTATTGAACAAATAAGATTGGCCTTGTCTTTGTACAGAGATTTCTCCAGTTTCCCTCAAACTTAAAATGACATTAAATACTGTAGTTGATTAAATCCACGACACATTTTATGCGGAAGGACATTAATCTTGAAATTGTTGCACTATTAGTGTCTCACAGAGTGATATACCTGCAAATTGATGATGTTATTATACCCGTCCCAACCTTTTTGGATCTTCTTGTTTTTAGTTTCAACGTATAGTGGCAGTAGCTCAGGAGGTAGAGCGGTCATCCAATAACTGGAAGGTTGGCGGTTTGATTCCGCCCTATCCCTAGTCTGCTCATTGTGTCCTTGGGCAAGACACTTAACCCACCTTGCTCCCAGTGGGTGTCCTCACAACTGATTGTGAGTGTTGTGTGGTGCAAAACTGGCAGCCACGTTTCTGTCAGTCTGGCCCAGGGCAGCTGTGACTACTAAGGTAGTTTACCGCCACCAAGGTGTGACTGTATGAGTGAATGATGTATCCAATGTAAGGCGTTTTGAGGGTCTCCGATAAAGCACTATAAAATCTGATGTATTATTATTATTATATGCCATATTATGCCATTTTGCACTTTTGCAATTTAAATGTTGAAACCTGACCAACATTTAAACAGTGTCGTAACTCTTTGAGAATTAGGGTTGTACATTTTGTTTTACAGGTGCTAATTGTTGCCAATTGACCTCATATCATATTTGAGTTTCTACCAGAGGATACAGACCTGAATCCAAACAGCGATCATGTGTCGCTACTGACAGAACAGGATCAGAAAAAAAAGATCATTTCAATTTAAAAACACTGTTTGTTTCAGCCCAGTGCCCCATTTCATAACCACTAACCAGTTACTGTTAATACGCGGGTAAGCAGAGGACTTTATCTCTTAAACACAGCCCTCTGCAGATTAATGATAGTTCAGTTCAGTGTCGCCTCTTTCAGTGTCTTGTTTCTCACTGTAACTGAAGTGCAGAGGGAGCAGGTAAATGAAATCCATGAGTTGAGTGTTTTATTTACAGTGTGTTTCAAGACTATCAGAGTATGCACCACACCCTTTTCCCAAGCTCCAGTGTCATAGCTGCGTGTTTCCCTGTAAACAGTGAAGACAGTCAAGGAGAAGTCTCACCCCTGGAGCGGTATAGTGACGCATTGAAGTGATCACTTGAGCGTTTGCCTCACGTCTGTTGTTCGCTGATGTCTCGCCGTCTGAGAAAGTTGTTCTACCTTGCACTCTTGCTCACAAGATGACTCATTTCAGCATTCTTGTTAAGGGTGCTTCAGACAGAGGAATAGTGATGATACATAAGTATTCAAGGTATGTGCAACAAGGTCACAGAGCACAGTGTCTACCCACATGAGAGAGTGTGCCTCTTTGGATTTCTTTGATTTAGTGTTGCACCACAGAGCCTCGAAACCTTGACCTTTGTGGCTGCTATTTAAGATGTTTTTTTTTTTTTTTTTTTTCAAATACAAAAGGTGAATTGCAACAGCAGTAGGTTAAATGAGTCAGTTCACTCTGGTAACACTCTCCACTACCTCATTCAGACCCTTTGGCATCCCTAGTCCAGGTTGGATATAATCCTTGAAGCGTTTTGGGTCTAAAATATGCATTGTACGTCTACATTGTTATGTGTTGTAGGTTTGAAAAGACTGCCGACATATGATGTGCATATGCATTCACTAGTAACC